CGTGTAAAATATATGGTCTTGTAACGTAACATCAACTGTCTGTGCTTGTACCAGAAAGGATCCTATAATGTAGCAGTAAGGGTCTGTGCAAGTACGATGGAGGCACTGCAACGTAGCATCCAACAACTGTGCAAGCACACGCATACATACATACATACATACATACATACATACATACATACATACATACATACATACATACATACATACATACATACATACATACATACATACATACATACATACATACATACATACATACATACATACATACATACATACATACATACATACATACATACATACATACATACATACATACATACATACACACATACATACACACATACATACATACATACATACATACATACATAGAATAGACTAGACTAGACTAGACTAGACTAGAATAGAATAGAATAGAATAGAATAGAACAGATAGATAGATAGGTAGATAGATAGATTGAAACATATGAGTAGGTGTACATGTGTGAACCTGTGCATGTGCCACACTGCATCTACCATTCTTATCACACTCTGGGCCGCACATTTACGCCCCCTCCATTTCAGGTGCACCGCCACTCAGTTGCACGTTTTGGATTTCAGGAGGAAAGGTGGACTGTACTGTATTTAAATGTATCTAATGGGGGATTAGCCACCAACAAAAGGGATTTCATAGGATTTAATGGAGATACAATGTAACTTAAAATATATACACCAAATATATACTAATAGTAAGATAATGTATATATCTATATCTCGAATATAATTTATATAATATATCATATAACATATTATATATATATATATACATATTATATAAAATATAGATATAATATATATATATATAACTTTTAGAACCAACCATTATTTGGGTTTGCCCGAAAATGCGGTAACCCCCCAAGTCCAGAGGATAGAACCTGTTTTCCATTTGAACGGCAAGAGCTTGGGGGCTAATCCCCATCTTTGGACAACCCAAATTTGCCATCCGAGGTGCCGCCTCCCGGTTGGGTGGTGGGTGGGATATTCCTCCCCAATGTGACTTTCAACATGGGATGATATGGGTTTTTGAGGCAGGTTACTAGTTTGGAAGCAAAGTCCTCAATTTTGTTTGATCTTTCCCCAGCTCAGGTGCCTGAACAAACTATCACGGATCACTTGGATGTGCAACCTAAACATGGTTGTATAACCCAATTTTCAATGTGAAAATTCTGATTTATGGATCGCTTGCCAGGTCCCTATTGTGATGCACGTGGAAAACACTAGAGTCAATAGTTTTTTATTTCTGAAGTTTGACTTACCCAAAAACTATCATGAAGTCTCATTCCTAGAATTGGTTGAAGGTAACAATTGCAGAACCTCTCCTTTGTTTCCTTTAGATTTTCCCTCAAATCAGTCGGTAGTCCGCATGAAACAGCCGTAGCTTTGAGGTCATCGGCGTCCTACACGAGCTCACAAGGTGACACCATGGCTGGGGCAATCATCGAAGTAAATGGGTCGTTTTCCACCTCTTGAATTACCAGAGGCCAATTGACATTTTGGAACGATTTCGTTTTTTTTTTGCATGCAGATATTTTTCATAGTCCGTACATTCGACACGTCAAAATAGTGGCAACTAAAGTGTCGAATATATCTATTATTGCCCTTCCACATTGGGAATTGGGACAATTTTTCGATGACCGCCCAAACATTTTCATGGGATAGATCATGACCAGTTCCATACCGAAAATGACCAGCCACTGGCAGGCTACACTCCACAGCAACTCGGCAGATGGGGAGGCAACTTCCAGTACAGTGAGATATGAAGAATTTCACCAGCAAAAATATGCAATCATGGTGGGTTTAAGCTGCGAAATTGGACCATTAAACATGGTGATTTAGCGGGCACAAGTGGGATTTGACCTGCAAAATCAGGATTTAACATGATTTAAGCAGCAACGATGTAACTCTGTACTTGAATTTTGAACAGTTTGCTCCGTTTTTCATCCTGTTGAACTTGGTGCAGCCGAGGTATCAGCAGAGAAGTACAGGCTATGGTGGTTATGGCGGCTCTGGGCGCTATGGTGGCTATGCGGCTGGGCACAATTACCTTGAAGTTGGGTAAATTACCCTCTGGTGATACGGGGGTTTCCATAATGGTGGTACCCCATGGCTGGATGGTTTATAATGGAAAATTCTATTAACATGGATGATGTAGGGGTACCCCTATTTCAGGAAACTTGCAGATATATGGTGATATAATGTTTTATTACAGTATGTCACTTTCAGGTATGGCAGGTACGGTGAAATGCACTTGTTTTCAAACACCAGCCAAAATGACACTTGGAACATTTTGGCTCAAGGATCCAAAATGGCTGGATCGCCAAGGCAGTCTGCCTCGGTGTTTTGGTTCTTTTTTTTGTTTCATACCTTGGCTGTCTGTCTTGGTATTGGAGCAGAGCAATGGACGACGAGGCGGCGGCCATCCGACGAGTGGAAGCAGATAAGGTCGCGGTCTGGTGCAGAGAGCAGGGAATAGCCAACTCTTCAGACCTGGCCTTCTTTTTCCTCACCTTTGACGAGGCCTTGCAGCCGGCGGGGCGGGCAGTGGCAGATGCCTGGCAGTCCCGCCGGATTGGCGGTGGCTGCACGTCAGGTGACGGCAATGGAGGTGTCTCCTCCAGCACCATTGCTCTCTATACCTCCTGTCGTCTGCGACGGCCGCAAGGACCAGGGGCCATAGATCCACACCATCGACTGTCTGCCGAGTGGCGCTCCAGTAGAAACCCGCACGGGTGTGGCTTTGCTTGCCCCACTACCACAAGAAATAGATATAGCGACCGCGAACTTCACAAGACCCCGAACACCATACAGTGACCGGCAAAGAGCACAGCCCATCCGTGGTGGTCCACAGAGTCTTCGAGCTTGGACTCGAGAACAGTCACTGCCAGGGGCATTAAAGGCCCTGACTGGAGCCTTATGGGCTTGGATAAAACTGCCCAACTGTAATGCCGACAGCTGGGACATATCCACCCACAGCGAAGCTTCGGAGCTCCCGCCACGTATAGAAACAGTGTTCTAAGGTGACCTGTTCAGCAGTGGCCGCCACCTCCATGACAAAGGCCCTCAAAGCCGTCTTCTCAGCTTCTGTGGTAGGTCGATGGCTGGACAGTAAAAGGCTCTCCCCCACTGTCACCGTGGGTTCAGCACACTCAAACACCAATGGCACCGTTCTTCAAGTTCACTTGTCTCGCTGTGCCCAACCCCATTAAGATCCTGGGCAGCCCACCAAAGGGCTCTGCTTCGATTTGAAAAGCCATGCTGCCTTTGAGAATCGGCGTCCTACAGCTTGCGGAGCTGGCCGGTTTGTCTGAGCCCGACAAGCTGGCATTGGGCAACTGGATTGACAAGGGGGTGGGCACTGGTCAGACGCCAGCCAGGTATAGTGCTACCCGTCCCCGGAGATCAATTAGGTAAGGTCGCTTTGCTTGGTGCTGCTCGCGCCTTTGGGCACCTGATGCGGTGGAAGGAAGCCTAAGCCGGCAGGCTATGCCCCAGTCTGGGGCAGGAGCCAGGCCGTCTGCCTCCCTGCGGAGGCTGTGCAGGAGCCGTCTGCTCCAGCTGCACGCACTGTCGAGTCGGACGACCTAAGGAATTCTTCAGCACGATGGCTCGGACCCGGTGGACTTCAACTGGTCATAGTGATCGCCCCGCGTGGTAACATGTGGCTTGGGGGCTTACCGTTGCTGACCGATGAGCCTGGCGTGCGCCGAGGCCCAGTGTTGACCGCGACTCTGCTTGGTATCATCATGGATGAGACGCTGGATGCATCCTTGGATAGGATTGCGGCAGTCAGGGAAATTGAACCAGAGCGAGTGCGTCGCCGGCCTGGTGGCGATGAGATCTTTGACTGGTGCCGAAGGCAGCAAGAAGGTGCGCCAGTTCAAGCTGCCGGCTCAGTGGCCTTAGAAGGTCATGTCTATCTGGCATGTGGTGTCCAATGAAGGGGACGCCCGGCCAATCTGCAAATGGAAGCAGTCGGACGCAAAGTCTTTTTTCCGAGGGCGCACTCCGTCGGCATCTGATACCAAGGAGGCCATGGTCCATGACCGCAAGTTCTGCCGCGCATGTTGAAGCTGTACTGCCAGCTTCGGACATCCTGTTGCTCGAGCACCTCATGAACTCCTAGACCCTTGTATCGGCCGCGTGACACCGCTTTTTGCAGGGTTGTGACTCAACCCTGCCAGCTTTGTGTAGGCGTGATATATATACGATCCGTCTGGTCCGCTGCCTTGGGGTCGGTGCACCCGGGGGGCTCACGGTGTTGCCCAGACAGACATGTATAGGTCGGTCATTCATGCTCGAGTTATTTTCCCCCCTGCAGCATCGCAACCAAGCCATCCAATGCGACGCCCAGGAGTCGTTGCTGGTGCTTCCGGGGCATGATTCCCTGCATGTCATCGAGCTCTGGCACGGGTGGCCCGCCTGGCCAAGCAGGTGTTGAATGGTATGAGCAGATTGCGATGCGAGAGTTCTGCACTCCAGAACCTACTTGCTCTGTCTGACAGGTCTTGAGCCACCCCGCCCGGGCTGTCTGCCTTGGTTCGTTACCCCTAACCGTCTGTTGGGGCAGCGCCTGGCCAGGACTCTCTTTGAGGAGGACGTTTTGCAGCCTGCGGTATGGCGACTTGCTGCTGTCGCGGACGCCCCGTCATGGCCGGTGCTGGCCCATCTGTGTCGGGAGCTCGGTGTAGTTCTCGATGCATTGGATTTTGAAGTCTTACAGTGATGACTTGACGGGATAGGCATCGGGATGTAAAATCAGGTGTTGGACCTGGAGAGTTGGGGAGGCACCGCACGCCAAGTTTTCATCCTTCCAAAACTTGATTTGTTTTCCGTCACAGGTGCTTTGATCCGCATGATCACGGTGTGCACCACCTTTTTGTGATTACATGTATGTTTTCCATGCAGCGCATATTTATTTTTCCCACGCTAGCATCACCCCGTTTGCCTGAGTCACCATGCCGGCTGGTCCTTCACCTGCTCGTGAACTCTTTGAGAAGTTGGCGGATGACTTCAGGTTCGATCGTCTGGTGGTGGACCATATCTTGGACCTGAAGCTGGAAAGCCTGAGTGACTTCCATCACTACGTTACTGAGGAGTCCGAGCTGGAGAAGGCCCTCATTCATTGACGGAGTTGCCAACTTGCTTCAGCGTGGTCGAGACCTTTAAGGCATGGTGTCACTTCATTCCCTGGGACGGTTTCCGCTTCCCAATCATTGCCGACCTCCTGCAGGCTGACACTTTTAGCCGTTTTCGAGCTGTGGGAGCTTCGCAGGTTTGCCAGCAGGCCCTCGTCTTATGGGAGCCCGCATGAGCATTGGCACGCAGACGGGTGCGGTAGCCTCAGCCAAAGCTGCCCCTTCCTTGGTCCCTTTTTTGGATTAGGGTAGGGCCAGACGGTCACTTCATCTTCGCCCAACACGTTCAAGCATTGGGTACGCCGTTTGAGCTGGAGCCCTTGGTGGATGACGACTCTCCTTTGCGGCTACTTTGTGAGCTACATGGGGAACACAGATTCGATCTCACTGCACCTCATCTATGATCATCTATGAAATGGGCAGACGATGGCAGCCGTTGACAGACTACATGCGGAAGTTCCAACCTCCTGAGGTGCCCAGTGCTATCTTGTTGGTCCTTGCCACATGGTGTTAGGTGACACGGGTGCTGTCTGCACCGGGCGCCGACTGCCCCAAGGGAAAGAGTGTCGTCTGCACTGATACAGTCAGTATCTCTGTCCGTATGACATGCGTCCCACAGGGTTCTGTATGACCAGGTCAGCCAGACCGTACCCAATGCACTCACGATAGCGTTGGCTATGAAGGAATGATGTTGATGCTTAGTGCGAGTGAAAAGTTAAGAGTCGAGCGGTGCTGTAAGCATGCCTTGAGTTTGAGTGGTTGTTGAAACACACGCACACACACAGGTTTACTTTTAATGGTTAGTTTGATATTACCAATGGTTAACTCAGATTCACCATGGTTAAATGGTGAGATATATGGTGAGAATTATCTATAATTGGGTCAGGCAAGAAAGGCATCTGGTCATTTTGGATTTTCGTGTGTTTGAAAACGGGGTCCCCCAAAATTTCCTTGGTTTATCAGGTTTCTTAATGTACATTTTTCCATATTTTCCCTATTCAAATGTATTAAAGACTGCAACACGCGATCGGTATCTGCATGTTTCGGCCATTTTCAGATCCAGGCACTAGCAACTTGAACTCCAACCCAAGGCCTAATACCATGGAACCACGAAAATGGGAACCTCAGAAGGTGCAAACGCGGATCCAGTCGCAGTTTTGCCACATACACTGCCAGGGATATACGAAACAGAAGAATCGCGACCCAACCCTAGCCAGAGAATGATGGCTTAAGAATAGGGCCACCCAAAATCCCATGCTTGATCATCATAACCCATGTTTCTGAACAATTCCACAGGGCAACTTCCGTTCAAGTGCATGTTCCTGGCTTCTAAAACCACAGTTGCCACTGGGCTAGGCTTGAAGCTGCACACGTGACGCTGGGAACGGGATGCTGAGAAGTTGATCCCCACCTTTGGCTGGGAATCATGGGGCATCCCGAAAGTGCGGCCAACGTACTATAGACTTCAGGAAAGTGTGCAGCCCCAAGTGCGACCAAAGGCCTTGAGAGGCCAAGCCACCACTTTGTGTTTTTTTGTATGTAATGAAAACTGTTTTGTGCTGCTTCTATGTATCGGAGAACATATTCAGGGCCCATATTCAATTTGGATTCCGCTCTGTTCCTTTTCTTTGCGTGCAACCATAATTTTGGGGATTGTCCGCCATAATTTTTTGGACCAACTAATCTAAGGTGAACCTCACATTTTCATTCAGATTCACAATTTCTAGGTGGTTGCCCTCCAGGACATCTCATTTCTAGAAATTGGTGTGTCTGAAAATTTGGTCTACCCCCCCAAAAAAACAAATTTGATATGGATGAGGATAAACCATCAAATTTGGTGGGATAACCCATTAAATTTGGTGTTATCCTATGTTTTTCTATGGTTTTCAGAGGAACCCTTATATAGCCATCTTGATGATGACCAGAGTTGATGGAAGACTTGGGGGTGCGCATTTACCTATCGCTTCGATGTAAGAACTTTCCACTTGATCTCTGCCACTTCTTGCGACCAGCGCAGAAAGAGTGTGTTAAAATCTTTTATAATGTTTTAAATGAAGGATATTCAGGATATATCACTGTAATTAACGGTAAAACTTTGGATGTTTGATGGTTTTTAGTCTGAAAATCCATAATTGTTTCTCCCAGCTTTCTCAACGTTGCAGAGGTCGGAAGTGAGCAATGTGGGAACCGTGTTGCAAGCTGCCGGCGCAAAGATAGTTGTCGAGAGAATATGGGTCTGGCCAGAAAATAGGGCACCCCTAAATCCACTGGTTTATCATCATTTTTGCTATTAAGATTTCTGTCTCGGGGGTATACCCCACTTTCAGACACACCCATATTATAGTATCAACATAGTTGAGGAATTACATAGTTCAATGATTTGCACTTATGCGTGCATCGAAATTGCTGATGTCGCATTCGCCAAATCCTCGCAGGTGAAAATTCTCAGCCACCTTGAGTTCTGGCTCACTCTAGTAACAGTAGAACATCCTGACATGCATAGCTGGTTGGTGGTTTCAATTACTTCCTATTTGCATCCTGCTCTGAATTCAATATAGATATATAATTATAATTATATATATATATTTCGGATGGTTTGAAACTACCTATGTTGTCCATCTATATGCATCTTGCGGCTTTTAGCCCTTTGCGCCACATGCAGCGCTTCACATTTCCTGGTCAACGTTTTCCGCCCTGCCGAAGCAGACTGCCGGCGCACACGCCAATGCGACGACCTGCGAAAACAAAGGAGGGATGTGATATAGTATGACAGAGTGATGTCCAAATATGTACAATATGTTTGTCTTTTTTCCCCCCTTTACAAAGATAATCTATTCACCATCATTCACCCCAATATTAAATTCTACTGGCCACATTTTGGGGCCCAATATGCCCCAATAAAGGGGGCATCTGTTGCTGAGGCATTGGATGATAACAGGATCCTCCCGATCCTCCCTACCATTATCACTATGTCGCCACCACTCATCATTGGGTCTACTATCCGTCATTATCATCACTATTATCAGCAGCAGTGATTATCATTACATTTTATCATTATTATATCAACATTATTTTAATCGCTATTATCATTCCCTACTACCATGAGTATCATGATCATCACATTGTCACGTTCACTATCATGATAGTATCACTATAGTAGCATAATGCCATCAGTAGAGTGTTATGACATGTGGATACTCATAGTCATCATCATCATCATCACCATCATCATCACCATTATTGATGAGTGATTGCCATGAATGATCAGGTATCATTGTTTCTTCTGAACTAGTGCTATTATGATCTTAATGAGAAATCATAGTACCATGATAATCAATAGTGATCTCTCAATACCACATTCGTTCTGACCGTACTAATCATTATTGCCATTCTAACGCCATTATTAGTGAATCAACAAAAATGATTAGTACAGTGATGATTATTCACCAATAACAACAACATCATAATAGATGATGGTTCACCACTGTTAGTGAGATTATCATGATGATTATAATAGTTATAATACTCAGATAATCACTATCCTTTTGACTGTACTAATTAGATTCTTGTGACGGTACTAATCGTCGTTGCTATTAGAATGTTATTATAGTTAAAGCACTATCATCAGGCACTATAGTACTATAACGTTTTTTAATTATCATACTAATCATGGTTGGTATAGCACTATGAAATTGTATTGTTGTAATTCTGATGATTGTAGTACTATTACTACTATAGTACTGCGCTAATTTTCACAATAATAATAGTAGGTGAATTTTCACTATTGTATAACTATTCACTATTGTTGTTTTGTTTTGTGTTGTCGTTGTTGTTGTTGTTGTTCACCTAGCTATTATTATTGCCAATCATTATTCTATGTTGTTGTTATTGGTGAATCACCAAAAGGCCCAGCCGCCAGGTGCAGATTCTCGAGACGCCACCCAAAGAGCCGCATCCCAAGCGGCAGGTGACGCGACTGCAGGAATGCCTCAGTGGTGGTGAAAAACATGGGGACAACTTGGAAAATTCTTGGGAAAACATAAGGAAAATGGGGCAATGTGCCATTTAAGTGGGTAAATATATTATTATATGATAAACATTGACAAACTATGGGATGGGACGGGGATTCATGGAGTATTATTCCATTTTGGGCAGATCCATGTTCATTCTTATCCACTTGAGCAGCTGAACATTGTCCAGTTTGACATATGGATCATCCCATTAGGGTGGACCCGGTTTGATGCGATTTGGCTGGAAGTGTCATTTTCACTGGTGAAATCCACATGTTGGTTGTTTACCCTCCTGTAAACTCACATAGATGTGGAGTTTACCCACCATTTGCAGATCATTTTCCTAGGGAAATATGGTTTTCTGCATCTATGTCAGTTGACCCCAGGGTAGGTAATTCCCGGCTTTTCCCACATTTCGAAGATCTTCGTTCTCGAAGGTCGACGATGTGCTGCCTGTGGCCACACCGGTTCGCAGTTCCCTTCAAGCCAAGGCCGGGCAACGGGTCAACTTCTGATTTGGACATCACTAGAAGTTACCTGAAATCATCAAGGTTCATTATCATATATTGGCATGCACTAATGTTCTCGACTCTATCTTCGCAATATATACACACATAGCATTCATGATGCATGCCTTGCAGTACATGATTTGTACATTGCAGTCCGCTACATTGCAGTACATTACAGTACATTACATACAAAGATACAAACAATGTCATTGGAGCAAAACTGGAGGGTTCAACCCCAATCACCACTGTGACCTTTATGGACAAGCCAGGCGAAGCTGCCTCTTGGACACGTCCAAGAAGGAAGGGTTATAAACATGTTAAAACCTTGGATTTATATAACCGTGAAAATTGGGGATTTAACTGGCTATACCCTGCTTAATCAGTGAAAATCGGGATTTACCGTGGGGTAAAACATACAAATGATGAGTAAAACCAACGCTTTGCCTAGGAAAATGACCTACACATGGTCGGGTTTTCCACAACTATGCTAGTTTACCGGAGGGTATTTTATGGATCAGAAGTTGTTGAGTGAGAGATAAACTGCATGTACCTTAGATTTGTAAGATTTGGTGGATTAAGAATGAATTATGGGCCGTTGTATCTCCAAACAATGGTGAACAGCTCCGGGGGTTATCAATCGGGGGTTGACATTATCCATCTACTCGATATGTGCTGCTGTTGAATACAATTTTAAAAACATCATTCCTGGTCAGATTGATCTTGGTGTTGCAATCAGATGTCCTGCGGGAGAACACAATGTTCAAATTGGGTCAAGTGGTGCCATGGACCCCCTGACAGATTTTCAAGTTGACATGTCAACAATTGAAGAGTTCAGGGTTCTTGAAATAGTTGATGGCAATAGAACCCACAACACTTGTAGTATTTTTAAACTGTTTTTAATATATGTTATCTGGATGTACTGTAGGTGGCAACTCTCCACCTTGGCACCACTCTCCAAGGTCGGAGCCAGACACTGCCGGATGCTGAGCAGTTGGACTGGACCTTTGCTCTCCTGCTCTCCGCATAGGAAAATACGCCCGTTGGAGAGTGACAAAGCTTGCATTTTGACGCATTTTATAGTGATTCCAATCAAGACTTAAGGCTAGGATAAATCGGATAAATCACTTTCAGATCAACTTTTGATGGCGATTGAATCTCCCAAAAAGTTGCCAAGTGCTTATATAATGCACCTTGTTCCAGCCGACCATGGGCCATTTGCGTGTTTCTGGAAATTTGCAACCTGCCAAAAAAGTATCAAACCTCGGGTTTAAATACCAAAACGGTCTATGTGCATCATGCATCAAAATGGAACCGTTAAAACATAAGAATGGAAAGATAACGAAAAAACATTCCAAATGGACCGCTTTGAAATGCCAACATGCTCAGTTTTGCTGTGGTCTTGGGAGCTGTTCGGCTTCACCTAGGTGGTCACCACGCCAGTCATGAAGCATCGTTTTTCCACACCTGGCAGGCCTGGCAGAGATGCTCCAGCTCGAAAAACTGGGGATTAAACCAAAGTAAGAAGTACCTGGTGAGTAACAATCCTCAGTTTTTTGGGGTAAGGCTATGAGCATGAAATTTCAAAGGTACCTATTGGAATTTGTAGCCAACAATGCTGGTGGTGTATGGTGAAAACACAGCCCAGGGAACGATGAAGTTTGCGAGGACATTTCATGTAATATCATGTAATCATGCATTGGAGTTCAAGAGCCCTTGCAACTACGACAAGGTCTCAAAACTTCCTACTTTTTCGGTGATTCACCCGCACCCGGCTTCCGTTAGGCCCTTGGCGCCCTCGCAGACGTCATTCTCCAGGATGTTTTTCAGTAACAGCCCCAGGCTCAGCCAGGTGGCTCCACAGCCAAGCACAGCCTGGGATCAGGTCCTGCTCCAGTGGTGAAACAGCCCGAGCCGGAGCGGAAGGCGATGGAATGGATGGGTCCCGAATGGTTTGGCCGAAAATGCCTGGCCAAGTTGGCAATTTTGAGGGGTATGCCCGGGTATGGGACAGTTTTGCAGAAAACCAAAAAAAATTAGAATTGTCGGTTTCAGATATCTGTTGTCTTCCATCCATTACTTGGGATGATGGTCTTGAACGAGCAGTGTTCAATGATAGGGGGTTAGAAGGGGGTTTTACTAAGTGATATATTGGGGATTATCACAATCCATGAGGGGAATCCCTATCAACCAGGTAGTAGAAACCACCGCAGGCGCCAGCTCCAGTAGCAGCGGCGGGGACCGCAGCATCGGTTCCGGCGCCGGTGCCGGCGTCGGTGATGGCAACCAAGGATGAAAAGATGGCGAAATCTCCTGAAAGTCGTGGCCCCTGTTTTTGGGCAAACATTTGATATATTATCAAGGACGTTTCATTCATGGAGGAAACTCCGAGTTACGGACTTTCACATTCTCACTAGCCCAAAGATCATTGTGTCCAGTTGGCGCGTGCCTTAAGAGATCATGAAGTCACATCATCACTAGCCCAAAGATCATTGTGTCCAGTTGGCACGTGCCTTAAGAGATCATGAAGTCACATTCCCACTAGCCCAAAAATCACTGTGTCCAGTTGGCACGTGCCTTTAGAGATCATGAAGTCACATTGTCACTAGCCCAAAGATCATTGTGTCCAGCTGGCACATGCCTTAAGAGATTCATGAAGTCACATTCCCACTAGCCCAAAGATCATTGTGTCCAGTCGGCACCTGTGTAGACGTAGAGTAGACGTAGAGTAGAGGTAGAGCAACGGGTGCGGCGATCCTCGCTTTGCCGTCGATTCTGCGCGCGCAGTGGAACTGAAGATTCCAGGTGGCTTTTTCTCTTCTTTGTGGATGCTGTGCTATTGTGTTTTGCATGTGCTGAGATACTTTGCGCATTGGAACTGCTGCATCAAAGCGATGTGCTCTATGTTGCAATTCTATTGTGTCTGTGCAGATCCCAGTGGAATGCTGCGTCGACGCTCCTCGAAGGGTACTTGTTCTGCAGCGCCGTCTTGCGAGTATGATTGCGTTTTGCAAGTCACTTTTGGCAGATCGCATTGGAAGTGATACATCGAGGATGCGATTTGAATGTTGAGATTTGCAGGAAACATGGTGTTTTTTTCAGGTAAACGGATGTTTACTTTTTTTTGAAAGTAGGCTCGCTTGCGCGACGGGTGCTGCGATCCTCGCTTTGTCGTCGATTCCGGTTCGATTTGCGCGCGCAGTGGAACTGAAGGTTCCAGGTTGACTTGTTCTCTTTGCTGATTGTGTTTTGCATGTGTTGCGACGCTGTTCTGCTCACGCTCATGTTGGCATGTTTACATGCCATGTTTGCCGGAAACCTGCATAGACGTGATCTGGCTGTCAGGTATTCAGCAGGGAGCGTGCAGGTGTTCTGCTCATGCCCATGGTGGCATGTTTAAGTGAATGTTTGCTCGAACCCTGCATAGGCGTGATCTGGTTGTCAGGTATTTCAGCGGAGCGTGCAGCTGTTCTGCTCATGCTCATTTTGGCATGTTTAAGTGGCATGTTTGTTCCAAACCTGCGTAGACGTGATCTGGCTGTCAGGTATTCAGCGGGGAGCGTGCAGCTGTTCTGCTCATGCTCATGTTGGCATGTTTAAGTGGCATGTTTGTTCCAAACCTGCATAGACGTGACTTGGCTGTCAGGTATTCACTGGGGAGCGTGCAGCTGTTCTGCTCACGCTCATTTTGGCATGTTTAAGTGGCCTGCTTGTTCGAAACCTCAATAGAGGTGACTTAAGTGTCAGGCATTCAGCGGGGAAGGTACATGTTTAAGGAGCATGTTTGTTCCAAACCTGCATGGACGTGACTTGGCTGTAAGGTATTCAGCGGGGAGCGTGCAGCTGTTCTGCTCACGCTCATGTTGGCATGTTTAAGTGGCATGTTTGTTCCAAACCTGCATAGACGTGACTTGGCTGTCAGGTATTTCAGCGGGGAGCGTGCAGCTGTTCTGCTCATGCTCATTTTGGCATGTTTAAGTGGCCTGCTTGTTCGAAACCTCAATAGAGGTGACTTAGCTGTCAGGCATTCAGCGGAGAAGGTGCATGTTTAAGGAGCATGTTTGGTCAAAACCTGCATGGACGTGACTCGGCTGTAAGGTATTCAGCGGGGAGCGTGCAGCTGTTCTTCTTTTGTTCCAAACCTGCATAGCCATGATCTGGCTGTCAGGTATTCAGCGGGGAGCGTGCAGCTGTTCTGCTCCCGCTCATGTTGGCATGTTTAAGTGGCATGTTTGTTCCAAACCTGCATAAACGTGATCTGGCTGTCAGGTATTCAGTGGGGAGCGTGCAGCTGTTCTGCTCACGCTCATGCTGGCATGTTGAAGTGGCATGTTTGTCCCAAGCCTGCATAGACGTGATCTGGCTGTCAGGTATTTCAGCGGGGAGCGTGCAGTGCAGCTGTTCTGCTCACGCTCATGTTGGCATGCGCGCCTGGAAAAAATGCTGCCGCCCAAGCGTGCTTGAACGTTGGACCCACAGGTAACAGCCAACAGTCCAGTAGGATTGAATGATAGCACATGACACGAGAATGATAACAAAATCGAATGTTGAAAGCCATGATCGAATGGAAAGGCAATTCAACTGGCCCGAACAAGAAAGTTTGCAACTGTGTGACTGTGTCACTTCGACTGGGCGGAGAAGAAAATGGACAGGTGGAACTGAGGTGAGGTTAGCCAACACGAGTTCAAAGGCGTTGAGAGGAGAGGAGAGAGATGAAAAGAGAGGTGATGAAAGTCAAGAAGATGTGCACAGAAATGAGAATCGTTGAAAAGAGATGACGGGAGGTGAGAAGTCGTTGGAAGAGCTGAGATGTGGCTTCACAATTTGCAACAAGAGGTCAGAAGTCCCGGAAAAAAGCATGGAAGTCTGCCGCAGCTCCTATAGGCAAACCTTGTTTTCGGATCCTATAGCGTTACACTTCTTAAACCTGGAAACTTCCGCCACCCGCCTTGCGGGGGCTCTACTTATATATATATATACACACATGTATGTGTATATATATATATGCTTTGTATACAATACAGTGATATGTATATATATATTTATACCCAGTTATATTTATATACTTGAATTTGGACAAAAAAAGTGGAACCGCGAAGGCGAACCAAACAGTGGAACTCAAAGGTGGAAGCAAACCTTGGAATCACATCCATCGTGAATGGTACTGTATGAATGGGAAAAAACGAAACTCATTGGAACGTCCATCGAAGGTCAGCCTGCAACAGATGGGTCTGTTGGGGAGACGACACCAGTCACTCCAGTGCTGCTTGGCAAAAATATGGTGGTGCAGGGGCTGATGGCGAA